CTGGACATGTCCAAACCACTGTCCCTCCTCTGGACATGTCCAAACCATCTCAGTGTGTCCTCTCTAACTTTATCTCCCAGTTGTTCAACCTGTGCTGTACCTCTGATGATCTCATTCCTGATCTTCTCCATCCTTGTCTCTCCTAAGAAGAACCTCAACATCTTCATTCTGACACTTCCAGTTCTGTCTCCTGTCTTTTTGTCCATGTCTCTGTCTCCAGACCATACAACAGAGCTGGTCTCACCACTGTCTTGTAAACTTTTCCTTTGACCTTTGCTGACACCCTTTTGTCACAAATCACTCCTGAAACTTTTCTCCATCCTGCCTGGACTCTTCACATCTTTACCACATTCTAATACATACAACTAATCAAATTTTAGTGATGGCCCAAATCCAGCTTATGTTTGTTGTCCAGTTTAAAGAGTTTGAGATTTCCTAAGTGCTCTTTTCTTTGTTCTCTTCCCAGGCTGTACTTGGAGCAGAGCGATTTCCACGAACGTTTCTCTGGAAGCGACTTCATCGTGGACCGCTCGTCTCAGTCAGTCACCTGCCAGACATTTGAGCTCACCCTACGCTCCTGCCTCTACCCCCACATCGAGAAGAGATACATTGAGTGCTGCGGGAACCTGATGAAGACTTTGAAAAAAGACTACAAGTAAGCGTCACTTTGAGGTTTAATGCTGAAGTTGTTCAAAGTTCTTTATTTGCCATTTGTGCACAGACCAACAATCCAGGCACATTGAAATTCTTGTGCAGAGTTCTCAGTCATAGTCAAAACACTGACACAACACTAAATAAAATAAGAACAAAATGTTTTCTATCTACAGGTACTGGTCATAAAATTAGAATATTGTGAAAAAGTTTATTTATTTCAGTAATTCCATTCAAAAAGTGAAACTTTTATATTCACTCATTACACACAGACTGTTTTATTTCAAATGTTTATTTCTTTTAACGTTGATGATTATAACTGACAATTAATGAAAACCCCAAATGCAGTATCTTAGAAAATTAGAATATTGTGAAAAGGTTCTGTATTGAAGACACCTGGTGCCACACTCTAATCAGCTAATTAACTCAAAACACCTGCAAAGGCCTTTAAATGGTCTCGGACTAGTTCTGTAGCTACACAATCATGGGGAACACTGCTGACTGGACAGTTGTCCAAAAGATGACCATTGACACCTTCACAAGGAGGGCAAGACACAAAAGGTCATTGCAAAAGAGGCTGGCTGTTCATAGAGCTCTGTGTCCAAGCACATTAATAGAGAGGTGAAGGGAAGGAAAAGATGTGGTAGAAAGAAATGTACAAGCAACAGGGATAACTGCATCCTGGAGAGGATGGTGAAACAAAACCCATTCCAAAATGTGTGGGAGATGCACAAAGAGTGGACTGCAGCTGGAGTCAGTGCTTCAAGAACCACCACACACAGACGTATGCAAGACATGGGTTTCAGCTGTCACATTCTTTGTGTCAATCCACTCTTGAACAAGAGACAGCGTCAGAAGCATCTCATCTGGGCTAAAGACAAAAAGGACTGGACTGTTGCTGAGTAGTCCAAAGTCATGTTCTCTGATGAAAGTAAATTTTGCATTTCCAGTGTTTCCCCTACCATTATATAAGCGGGGCGCCCCGTCAACGGAACTGAGCGCCCCGTCTACCAAACCCCACCCCCCACCCCCACCTACCTGTCTGCACTGACGTAACACTAAACTAGTGGCTCGCAATGCAGGTGCACTAACTAAAAAGCTAAAAGCGGCCTCTTCCTTCACGCTGAACCCCCTGCCACTTGAAAACTGTCGGTACAAACAGCACATGGCTCAGATGTGCGTCTCTCTCCCCCGCACCGACCAACCCCCCGCCCCAAAAAAACAAAAAACTTTCGGGTTCAGACAGCGCGCGGCTGAGATATGTCTCTGTATCTCTCCTCTCACACACCCTGCTCTAAAACTGTCAGTACAAACAGCACGCAGCGTCTCTGTGTCCCCAAAACTGTTGGTTTAAACAGCGCGCTGCGCAGCTGAGGATGAGTCTCCGTTACACACACACACACACACACACACACACACACACACCCCCGACAAAAAATCATGGACGAGCGCCCCACCATGGCAAGTTATCTAGGGGAAACACTGATCTCTTTTGGAAATCAAGGTCACAGAGTCTGGAAGAAGAGAGGAGAGGCACAGAATCCACATTGCTTGAAGTCCAGTGTTAAGTTTCCAGTCAGTGATGGTTTGGGGTGCCATGTCAACTGCTGGTATTGGTCCACTGTGTTTTCTTAGGTCCAAGGTCAACGCAGCCATCTACCAGGAAATTTTAGAGCACTTCATGTTTTCTGCTGCTGACCAACATTATGGAGATGTAGATTTCATTTTCCAACAGGACTTGGCACCTGCACACAGTGCCAAAGCTACCAGTACCTTTTTTTTTTTTATTACTTTATTTTACCAGGAAGAAATCCATTGAGATCATCAATCTCTTTTACCAGAGTCAACAATTCATAAGAGCTGAAGGCCACGATCAGAGCAACCTGGACTCTCATAACACCTGAGCAGAGACACAGACTGATCCACTCCATGCCACGCTGCATTGCTGCAGTAATCCAGGCTAAAGGAGCAACAACTAAGTATTGATGCTGTACATGCTCATACTTTATGTTCGTACTTTATGTTCATACTTTTCATGTTCATATTTTAAAGTTGGCCAACATTTCTAAAAATATTTTTTTTAATTGGTCTTAAGGTTCTATTCTATTCTATTTTTCTGAGATATTGAATTTGGGGTTTTCATTAGTTGTTAGTTATAATCATCAACATTAAAATAAATAAACATTTGAAATATGTCATGTCTATCTACCCAGTGGAGTTACCATTTTGGTTAATTTTTTTTTTTTAAAGCGTTCAATACAAAAAATAACTGGACTTTATTTGCCAGTCTACATATGTGTGTGTGTCTTATCTCACTCAGCCTTATAACCTGAATCTCTCACTCTCTGCTCTTTGAATTGAGAAAGCTCCTCGGATGAGGAGTGAAACGTCTTCTGTTGCAAATAAAGTCCAGTTGTTTTTTGTATTGAACGCTTTTTGAATTCATCATGTCCTGGATGATTGAGAATCTTCATCAGCATACCATTTGGGTTATGGCTAAACCCTGCTGCATCCTCTCCTAATGACCTAGGTCTATAACTTGAAGTATTACCAGTGCAATGTTAGACTAGTTCAACTTAGGCTGTGTGTGAAGGCGATTCGCCCATATTGTTGATGATCTTCATGTGTGAGCCACACCCTTATCTCACCCTGTGACTCTTCCAACCTTAGTAGCTGAAGTTGGATCGTTGTCCACAGGGAAACTCACATAAACGGTCGCTCACCTTCGTTGTAGAACTGTAATTCTTACTTATCTGGTTCTCTTTAGAATCCAGGAGTAGGATTCCAAGATGTTGTCTTGATATTCACAGCTGAGAAAACCATTTAAAATCTCCAACAATTTTCAGTCAGGTCATCTGGACAGTTTCTTTCTTTTCTTTCTGAAATGTTTCACCTTCCATCCGGAAGGTTTCATCAGTCAGAGAGTCAGAGTCAGAGTTTCTTTATTGTCATTCGCACCTCATGTGGTACATGTGGTGGAGCGAAATTATGTACACGGGGTCCCAGTTACATCCAACAATAAAATGTAAAAGAAAAACAGTAATAACATCTAAGATATGAACTAAGAAAAACATCAACTAAATATACACTAAGCACTCATAACATAAAACATTGAACATCAGCACAAACATGAACATGAGTCTGTGAGCAGATGTGCACGCATGAACACATCAACATTGAAACAGATCAGCAGCAACATGAAACAGATCAGCAGCAACATGATATGGTTTTTCACAGTGATTATTCTAGTTAGAGATTCATAAGTCTAACAGCCTCAGGGTAGAAGCTGTTCCTCAGTCTAGTGGTTCTACACTCAAGGAAGCATCAGTCAAGGAAACATACAACAAAACTGATTCTTCCCCCAAACAACTTACTCCAAAGTGGAACAAACCAGTTATGTTGGTGCTAAGATGATGTCTTTGGCACGCCCCCTCCTCTGGAGCCGGCCCTCTTCCTCGTTGACAGTCTTGTCAAACTGGTTCAAAGTCCATGCTTAATAATCCAGGTATACAATCCAACAATTTTCAGAAAGGTCATCTGGACAGCTTCTTTTTGTTGTTGTTGTTGTCCAGATGACCTGTCTGAAAATTGTTGGATTGTATACCTGGATTATTGAGCATGGACTTTTTTTGGTCCTGGAGAACCCTCTTGCCCGGCTGAGACTTACACTGTGGGGTACATCAGAGATCAGCTGATGTGTCTTTCAGTTCTGTCTCAGAAGGATGCTGAAAACATTTATATTTTGGATTTATAATAGCAGGGGTTCTGCTATTTGGCTTCGGCGGGGCTCTGTTTTATCACTTTGAAGAAGACATTGGCAGCAGTTTTGGCCATGGCAAGCTTCCGAGTCTGTGTTTGGTTCATGCTATGAGGACTCCAAAATCAGCTGATTAACAAGCTAAACTTTAAGATGGAGACGATTTGCGAGAATCGCTGGCCACCTGTGGCTTTTGGACTCGACAGCATATAGGATCGATCTTGGGGAGGCTCATAACGTAGATCAGTGGAGAGGAATACCTATAAATCTGGACATTTTGGACCGAGAAAGGTCCAGTAGGACTCGAGGCTGACAAGAAAAAAAAGAGCCTGTCTGTAGAAATTCAACAATTGTGGCTTATCTGAATCTGACTCCCCAATTTGGCCTTGGATCAGAATCAGAATAAACTTTATTGGAATTGCACCGAGGTACAACGCGAATATATACGTACAGTCGTCCGAAAGATGGGCGGAGTGCACAAAGCTGCAACTACAGGAGAGCGCGGCCATTTTATCCTTATCAGATAATAATCTTAGATAGAAAAAGGGGGAGAAACATGAGGGTAGATAGTGGTATTACAAAAAAAGATCTTTCACATCTTGTCCATCAGGACACGATTTGAGACATCAGAAAACTCTACCAGCAGCTCAATTAAAACATGATCACATTTGCATTTGACATCGAGGTGTTGAGATTTGTCCATGAGCTTTTTTTCAGATCAGCCACAGTTTCTGAGGATGTTGTTTTCAACCAGCAGTTCTGATAAGCTTGCACAGAAAGTCTTGGGGGGGGGGGGGGGGGGGG